TTATGCAAATATGAAGCCTTGAATCTTTGTAAAAAATTTGTTGCAATATGCCTAATACAATACATGTAAAAGGCTCTTGGTGGTTCTCACTCTTTATTGCTTCTTCTTTTTGCTACATTAATTGACTCGTGCCGATAAAAAATTATATCAATGTCATCTTGAGTGATAACGTGTCTACATAAATTATCAAAGAAAAAAATCATGCATCCAAAGACTCATCCTCAACAATAGTAAAAGCAATTGGCAAAATATTCTAATTACCATCTTGTGAAACAACCACCAATAGAAACTCCCTTGTATTTTTCATATAAATGTGTTTTATTAATCTATACAGGTGGTTTGTAGTGTTTAAATACTCTGATATAAGGACCAAAAGTCTATAACACTGGACAAAGTATTTTAACATTAGGAACTAACTCATAAGCATTGTAGGTGTCTACAACATCCAACTGAACAACGGAACCTCGAACATTGTCACACATTGCTACACACCATTGTGGCAAAGCTTCAAATAAGGCTTTCCATTGATCATAAACTTTTTCAATTACCTTATGTTTTCCCCTCCATTCTTTCCAATATGTTGTCATGTAGCCATATTGAGACTGAATTTAGCTAATAACGAGTTTTATCTTAAAGGAAAGGTCAAATTTAACCAATGATTTTATACATTCTGCAATTGTGTTGAAATCCAATTTGGCATGATCTTGAGAAATCCTTCCTCTTGTACATGTGTGCAGACCATTGTACTTTTTGATCTTCAAAATAAACTCGTTCTTTCTAAAAGTAGCACGAAGAGGCCATCCACAATCTATTCCATACCTCATACATTTATAATAAAATATATTTGATTCTTACTCAACAACTTTGTAGTCTACTTCATTTGCTATATTGTAACACTTAATTGTTCGTATAACATTTTCTCTATCATTAAATTGCTTTCTAATATACAAATCTTCATCTACGTCAGAATGACCTATCAAATGCAAACACATATAATAAATTAAAAAACTATAATTTAATTCATCAACATTATTAAAAATAACACATATCTAAATTTGCATACTCTAAAAACTCAATTGTATACATAACATCAAGATTTAATGAACGCATGAAAGGTGGCTCACTAAATGGATGTTGACCAATCACTATGTTTGACAAATGGACCTCGTCATCACCATCGTCATCCATATCATCATCTTCACTCAGCTCACTGCTTCCACATTCTCCTTCATACTCAGAGTCACTACTTTTACTGTTGGCATTTATCCATTCTATCTCTCTATTTGGCCAATGTTTGCATATGTTTCCTCAACATCTTCTTCCAATGTTGTAACACCTTAATTTTTACTTTTCAAAATAATGAATTTCACAAAAATGGGGAGAATAAACTTTTTCATTCAAATAAAATCCTCATTAAAATGTCTCAAATTTAAGGAAAGGGGTTACAAAATTCATATCAAATCATTGCTACAGGATTAATTCAAATACATTAATTTCAGAACGATATCCTAAGTTCTATAGCAGTTCCATCTACCCCTTCACTAAGACCGGTGCTCATCGTCTTAATTACCTGAAAAATGAATGTAAGAGTGAGTACTCTATACTACTCATTACACAAACAAATACAGAGTCTCACCTTGTGCATATTTTACATCATTTCTAATACAATTCATATAAATATATTCACAGGCAGCATTACCACTCAATTCATTTTTAATTCAACTTCGATGCACTCATGACAGCAAACAGTTCACACACATGTAATTATCAAACAAATATCCTGTGCACTCATTGCATGCCAGCCACGCTCATTATGGCACTGTGATCACATATTTTCACTATGGATGGTTGTCGGTCACCCTTGCCTCATGAATACTGCGTAGGTAGTCATAGGTCGCTCAGCCAAGATAGTGGTTAGAGGTCTAGTCAGAAAGAAAGTGTGTGGCCCGTGGTGCACCTACACTCACTGTTGGTGTCACCACCACTTTTTCTTTCCTAAGGTATTTCTTCCGTCCCCATCTTCCATACCCCCAGTATATCGCTGAACCATTCATAGTACAATATAATGGCGTTAACACGCCCCATCCACACACATTTCAGCATTTAGTCACAATTCACGGCACAAAGCCCACAATCATTTATTTTACACAGCTCTTAGACTCACATTTGTTCGCAATAATCGTTCTCAATACACGGCACAAGTGCCCACATGCATTTACAACATAATTCATTTCAACCACACACACAATATTTACCATTGTACAAGGCTCTCAACCTACACTTATTCACATTGCACGGCACACACATTACCCTTATTTACTCACACAATAATTTCAACATAATTCACATTTACATTCCTCATTCATCAAGTATTAGTATACTCACACCACACAGTCACCCATCATGGGTTTCCACATGCTATCACACCTCACAACACACAGCAAATTTCATTAAATACATATTTCCTATCCTCTATCTCAACCATATTGTAATATTCATCAAAATACACGACAATCCAACCTAAAGAGATAGGGTAAGTCCCCCTTTACCTTGGATTGAAGACCCACACTTGAATTCAATCACGAAAGTGCTCCTCACACGGATTTCAGCCTAAATACATAGAAGAACTCCGTAAGGATCCAAGGAAACCGAGAAACAGAAAAAGGGGATGAAAAATAAAAATCCTAACCATTAAAACTCACCTCCAAGCATTCCCAACATGAATCCAACCTTCAATCAAGCTCCCGAACGACTTTGGAGGCAATTTAATCGGTGGAATAGGGTTGTGGATCAAGAGAATCGAAGAAATTTCGAAAGGAAGGTAAGAAATAACCTTTCTCGAACCCTAACTCCTCCTTTAAATCCTCTCTAGTCGCGACACTCTCACTACAACGAGATACTATTGCTGCAGCGAGGTCCCTTCCTCGTTACAGCGAAAAACTCAAACAAAACTGCACTTTGGTTTCTGCAGAATCTCGCTACAGCGAGACTGCACACAGAAATGCACATCAAATATGGCTTTGTCGCTACAGTGAGACACTCTTGCTACAGCGAGAATGCCCCAGTATTCCACCCTTGACCTGTTTTTCAGTCCAAACAATCATATACAAACACATTATATGCATCTATACACACAAGCATTTGGTGTTTATTACGCACTCAAGTGCAAACTCCGATATCCATTCACATCATACATATATATATATATAATACATAACACAAAAAAGTCAACGCAAATACTTATATTAATAATCAACTATATTACAAAATTCGGGGTGCTACAAATGTTTATTGCAATTTTTTTTAAAACAACATGTAACTCAATGGTAGGGGTTGGCAGATAACGTTATTGATGTATTTAAAATATTTGTAAAATATCAACACATTCGTTATTGAAATTATATGATATTGCATTAAACATCCAAATATTGATATTGAAAACCTATAAACAATACTTTCCACTACTTTTGGAAACTCAAATTCAATATTTTGAGTAAGTCAATACTTTAGTTCTGCAATGATATATTATCTCTTATATATACATATATGTTAAATTTTCGTACCTAAATAACACACTTTCACGAGTGTTTGTAATAACCTCTCCATTAAAGTATATTAATAGGAGCACACTCATTTTTTTCCTTTATGATGAACTCATTCTATATCTAAAAATCATCATTTTCACTCACTTGCAACTTACAAAAAATGGAGAATTCGGTATTTACATGCATTTTCTGATTAATTTATCCGATCCAAAAGTTGTTAATGACGTTTTTTATTCTATTATTATTTTTGAAATGTTCAAAAGTTGCCAATAGTAATTATATATTTTTATTTTTTTAAAGTTCAAAAATCACCAATGAAAATTTTATATGTGTTTTTAATTTTTTTCAGGCTAAAAAGTCATTAATGAAGATTTTTCAAATGTACAATTTTATTTTTTTTAATATCGTTATTGGCAAGTTTTAAAAATGATTTGATATTTCTGATAAAAAAATGCCATTAACAAATTTTACTAAAATTCCATATTCATATATATAGCAAAAAATCTCATATTTATTGTATTTTTAAAGAAAAAAACTATATAAAAAAAAGAGCCCATTACTTTTATCTAGTAATATTTTTTTATAAATAAATACATCGTTTACTTTTTATAATTTTATTCTCTAATTCACATCTCTTAGCTTTCGATTTCTCTTCTTTAATAAATTTAATTCAACTTTTGGCCTCCTAATACATGAACTATTTTATTTAAATTGAAACAAATTAAAAGTTATATAAAAACAAATAAATTTTAAAACAAGCAAATAAATTAATAACCAATTCAAATTAAACTCCAAAAAATCTATTTATATATTTAATTTTGATATTATATATATATATATATATATATATATATATCTCGAATTAAATAAAACTATATTACTTTTAGATTGTATTCAGATAAAGTTTGGTTTTACAACTGATTAGCTCTCCTATTGATTGTTTTTCCATCTTACGAGTTACGAGCATCCCAACTCTGTAACTCGTACCAAAATTACTCACATTTCTGCTTCCATCAACTTCTGCCTTCTGTACTGTGTCTCCGAAACGAACCTGAGAGGTAAGAAGTCACACTTACGTCACCCCCTCTCAGTCTGTGTCTCTCTCTGATTTGTGACCAATGTGAACCAACCAACGAAGGTGGTTTGGTTAATTAAACTGCGTCACTTTGGAACCAAAGAAGCTCCTATGTCCGTGTCTTCTCTCCTTTGGTGAAATGTGAAATTTATACCATTATTGTTGAAACTCCATACCATTGTTTTGTTGCTTCTTGTTTGTGCCCTTGTGTTGAACATTCAAAAGTTTTGTTTTTAGTGTTCTTTTCGTGTTTGTTTTGGTCAGAGGGTACACAATCTAGAGGTTATACTTGTTTGTCTTAAGTGACACTTGTTTCGACAATTTCCTCGTATTTCATTTCGGTGTCATTTACTTCTCCATTTCATTCAGTAAACACAGCAATGGCTCAACAGGTACCAACTTCCCTTCTCTCTCTATCATTCACTCTGGCATACACATAAGGTGCATGCGCACGTTGATGTTATGTCAAGCTATTTGATAAAGTTGGTTGCTTTTGATTATTTTGAGGGTTGTGTTTTATGTTAGCATGTTTATCAGATTCATTTTTTGTTTTTGTTTTTTCTAATTTGATGGGTTGTTGATGCAGGAAGAAGGGTGGCCTTTGGGATTGAGATTCGTGAATTCAAGAATTAGGTTGTTGAGAAATGGTTCTGGGTCAGTCTCATTCAGCACTGTGCTTACTGATTCTCACACCCCTTCAACTGATTCTTCCTCAGATCTTGACACACAGGTTCATAATTTTCTCCCAACAAAAATCGTTATTATTATTAGACAAATACTAAATAATACCTTTATAAGACTGTTTAAAAAATTAAAAAGACAAATTTTATTGAAAACTGTTAGAAATGTGTTTTTATTATAATTTTAATATATTTTAACTTAGTTTTTGATAATTGCTTACATAGGTTAATAGGACCCTTATTATTATTACTATCAATGTAAGATTGTGTTGTCACGACCACTTTGTTTCATTGATACCAACACTACCTATTGCTTCCTGTTTTTTCTCCGAAGTTGCTAGACCTTTCTTGCAAATCTTTTTTCCTTTGTACCATTTTGTATTTTCACCATGTTGATGGGTTTTAATTGTTCTGAGGATTATTTACTAAAGTGATCGTAGTCACCGAAAGAGAGATCTTCTCCTATATCTTGTATGTATATTTCTTGGTATAAGTTTTTTGGTGCAAAAATAATGACTGCTTCACATACCTGCAATGGTACTCAAGTGTTACTGTGATTTTGCACTTCTTATCTACACAGTGGTTTGCCCTTTTTCTGTTCAGCTTGTCCTTTTTTTTGTCATATGTTCAGCTTGCCTTAAATTTGGTATACTTTACTCTTTCATATTGGTTTAGAACCATGGCTTTGAGTTTTGACTATGTACTTTGAGTTCATTTCTCTGACGAAGATGAAGCTTTTTTCAAATTATGAGTGAGCCTAAACCAAAAATGAATGGGAAGGAAAAGGAAGCTACATGTAATGAAAATGCCCATCGCTTCCCCTGTCGCACTCTTTCGGATCCTTCGCTTCTTTTGTGTGTAATTAATTGCTTGGCTCCAATGGGGTCCATAGCATGGTCTACCACATCATGGCTTGACAGAATGTGATGTTGATTTCACTTTAATTTCCATCTTGTTGCTATACTGTTTGTCATTTTGGAAAAACTACCCTTTGAACAGTGTGAGAAAGGAGCAATCATATTGTATAACAGATAAAATACAAAATATATGATTAACATTTTTCATAAATGCTTCTTTATTAATTATTAAGGAAGAGCATATGCATAACAATAAGTTTATGGGCTAGTGACCTCAAATGTTAGAAATTTTTCGCTTGGGCGTATAACAGTGTACTTTTATCTAATGCGAGTCTCATACACTGAGCCTCCCTTTTCATAGTAACTATTGTTTACTTAAATATTTTTAACCAATCATGTTAATGAATGTCAATTGTTGGCATATATTCTAATTGTATAGAAGTCAGTATTCCTGAGCCATTTTACCTAACTCACTTGAAATGGCTTGTTATAGTCCACTGGATCATTCTTCCATGACAAAAGCATTACTCTTGGTAACCTCATTGGTATTTCTAGCTTCCTAGAACTCTCAAGGAGATCAACAAGGGGAAGAATGGTAGAATCCTCAAGGGACAACAAAAAGATTCACAAGCTGAAGCCTTGGCTGTTTTCGCTGTGTTCAAGGTTAAGTACTGATGCAGTGAGTGGGAATAATGCTCCCTCTCTTGGTCACTACCTTGAAGCTGAGAGAAGAATTGCAAGCACATACAGAAGGAATCAGTGTCCTACCACATATGGATCTAATGGTTTCTCCCTTATTCGAGACTCAAACTCACCATTAGTTGGGAGCCATGAAATGGAGCATAGTGATGGATATGTAGCACCAACAGTTTTCCCTCGTTTGAGTGGATAAATAAACAAGTGATGATCACTTGTTATTCATTTTTCTTTCATTCAGAGGTCATGGAGTTTTTTTCTGTTTCAGGAGATTCTCCTGTTCGGTAATTAATTTCAAGGCATTAGGATGTTATATTTTTCACTCCTTTCTGTACCACATATTCTGCAGCTCTTTATGATAGTAATAAAAGAATAATAAAGCTTTACAAAATATATATAAATAGATGCCACAGATGATAAATTTGAACTATTGAAATTTTACAAAATTTACTACAGTTGCATACCATTCTCGTGTGGAAGTTATTACATACAATGCTAGTGGTTTGTTTGTTTGTTTCTATATAGGTGGTGATCATCAGTATGTAAAATCTTGTTTCCTTTCTGATTCAAGGGGCAAGCACATCACAGGTCATGCCAAAGTATCTCACAAATAAATAAAACTGTAATATTTGGTGATTAGGTAGTATTATAGACGGAGCTTGACTGATGCCAGCAAAAGCTTCCACCATATTGAGGTGTCTGCAGTACCTAAGAAACCAGATTAAAAATACAGAAACGTTGTCCTTGAAACATCAAGGATTCTAGAAGCACAGATTAATAGCTTCTGGTTGAGTGTTTAGATTGAATATGTTTGAGAACAATATCAGCTAATTTACACTTTCGCATCAGATGTTCACTGCTCAAATGATGTGAAACCAAGAAATTCAGCTTAAGAAATTGAACACCAACACTTTAATGAAGGTAAAACCTTGTCACAGTGGGGATGAATGAAAACATGTGTGTGAATCCATTTATATTTGCCATTGTCAAAGAAGCAAGGAAATTACCTTTAACTCATGCATACTATACTTGATATTTGAGGGGAAAATACACAGCTGTTCTGATGCTCCAAGTCCAACCGAGAATCAGATTACAAAAGTAGAAAACTTAAACCGATGACAAACTGTTGTCTCTCTTGATACTTGTGATCCTTGGACAATCGTGAGAAAATGAATCCAAGCAATTGGAAACCAATATTTTTTCATAACACAGCTGACAAATGCATCAACATTCTCTTACAGAAAAATTAGAGTTACAAATTGTGAACATATTTGCATGAAGAACTGATATAATAAATGCCAAATGTTAGGAACATACATATTAGCGTTCAATGTAGGATCTTCTCAATTTGCTATCTGATTCAGTACCAAGCTTCTTCACAGGTGTTACACTCTGTGTCTCCTGCAAAGACAACTCTTTTTAAATTCCACTAAACACAAAAGCTGGCTTGTTGTGGAGTAGAAAGAGTAAAAAGGAATGTACTTACAACCGCTTTCTGATCTTCCACCACATGGTGACCGTTTTCCAACTTCTGCAGATATTGCAAACGGTTTATACTTAGAAACAGAGAAAAACCATTTTCTCTTTTTGCAGCCTCGCGCTCCTTTTGAAGCAATAACTTAGTTTCTTTGAAATGAAGCTGCATCTCTTGCAAAGTAGATTGTAGTTCTTCGTTTTCTTATGTTTGCTTCTTCCATGTCAACCTACATTTGTTAATAGAGATTTAAGAAACTTTGCAAGGAAAGATAATAGCACGTGTATAACATAATAATCAAGTTCACTCCTCCACTTAAGATTTCTGATTAAGTATTGTTACAGAGCTAACTGGTATGCTTAACATGGTGCAGGAAAAATGCTAGTTGGCCACAGTAAAATTATTATAGCCAGCAGCTAGCTCTCACAAAATAATAGTCATTTAGCCACAAGCGTTTTTCCAGCTTCAACCTCAATGTATGGTCTTCAACTTGCCTGAAATTAGAAAGAAAACGTATCAATTACTGAATAACATAATTAAGATAGCATAATAGCTAGCAATCACAAGTTCATGATATGTAAGAGCTTTACAAAATTCCCTATCCCACCAAAATAATTGCATAGCTCCTCATTCTGACCAAAATGCACAAATAATTGATAGATGTATTGCCACTCCAATATGCATATTCACACTCCTTACTTTTTATCTTTCATTTAGCTTTCCAATTTTGTCTTTATTTAAGTATTTTTCAAAAACAAAGGTCAAAATTAGTTGTTTATTTTTTATATATCACTATAAAATAATAAAACAAAAAAGTATGTTTAAATTTTTTATTTACACAACATAAAATATTAATAATTATAGTAACATAATTTGATTGACAAAATATGTTCGATAATATGTCTAATAAATAAACATTATATTTGATAAATCTATTAAAAAAACTGAAACTTACAAAGAAACCATTTTTTATTCATACAGTATTAGCTTTATCAATAAAACAAAACATAATAAAAACTAAAGATCATTATAAAAATACATATAAAAATATCTACATGTTCTTTAATCATGAAATTAGAAAAGCAAAAGCTTAAAATAAATAAATAAGAATCAATCCTTTTAAGCAATGCAAATATGTTTTTTTTTTTTTTTTTGTGCACTAGATAAGTGAAGACTTATGCTTCATCTCCAAAATTCCAAAATAAATTCTTTCAACTTTAAGTTCATGTATTGTAGAACAATTTTAGCTATGCATTCTCACAAATTGACATACAAGTTTCAATTAAATTAACAGTTCTCAATTAAAAAAAATTATTTACATAAATAAGAGCATCATCATCCTCATCTCTCTCATTCAAAATAGTTAAAACATACTTTTTTCTATCAAACTTAAATTTTATAATATTTTAATTTATTTGTTAGATAAGTTATTTAAAAAAATCTTGTGATATTTTAGTCATATTTTTTAAAATTATAGATTAACAATATTGAGCTTCCGTAATTATCGCCGAGCAACTTTTCCTCTCAAATTCCATGCACTTTGTGTTGTAATAGCTACCTTCTTTAAGAAAACCAAAATCAAACCGAACCGCTATTATACCCTTAGTGTTGTAATGCATGCAAACCCTAAATTTCTACCTCAGTTCCCTTCCCTTTGCTCATGACGGTGATGCTCACCCCTGCATCTCCGTTCTCGATCACCCTTCTCAGAATTGTCTATATAGGCCATTGACAAAGGCAATCGAGCTGAGTGCTTAGCGACTTTTTTCAGGTACTTTAATGCTCACATTCTCTCTCTGTTTTTTCTTGTGTGTAATAGTCCAAAATTATATCTGTAGAGGTCTAATGTCATTCTTTTCTCTTTTCTATATTTTCATGTTCATTGCTTCTTTAATATGAACGAATTGTGGTTAACTTGTATGCATATGCAAAACTCACCATCATCTTCCATTCTTTAGAAGATAAAGAGTATTAATAAAACTATATTTTATTATACTTTTTAAAAACACTTCTTAACAGTGTATCATATGACAATTTCAAGTTTGACATTTTATTTTGTTCTTCCTTGTAGAAATCATGATTTATATCTATTGTTCTTTTAAGTTTTCATTTTTTTTTGCAGACTTGTGTTCGGGGTATTACCTGTGATAATACTAATCTCATGGAGGACAAAACCAAGAAGAAAAGGTCTAAGATTGACCTAAGTGATTTGGGATGTAGTTTTGATCTGGATTCAAATAAAGGAAAGAAAAAGAAGTAGACGGAGAAAAGAGAAAAACATGCAACGGACAAAATGTTAGGAATGAAGTCCCACATCGGTGGGAACTTCAAGTGGGGGCCCCTCCTTTACTTATATAAAGGGTAAGGGTCCATCAAATTAAAAACATCCCAAAATCTTCTCTTTCCCTTTCATTTTGTATTATACCGAGCTTGTACTTGGTAGTAATAGTCTCCTATTTTGAGGAGTAAATTTTAGAGTGAGGAGTAGTATAATTTTTTCTTCTGTGATAATTTTATATTGTCTTTGTTGGCTCTTATTTTTTATCTCTTATTTTAGTTGTGTGTTATTATACTGATACTCTGGTCCTAACAGTGGTATCAGAGCTACTGGTTTAGTTTATTCCGCTGCTATTGTCATTAGAATAATGTTGGTAAAATTCTGAGTATGCTCTGTGATTGCGGTTTAATCCGATCTTTCACATCAAAAAAGAGTTGTTACTGGAAAAGTTTGGTAGTGTGAAACTGCTATCTGAGAAAGTTCTGGCTAGGAAAGATTTGGTATTTAAGAGTGTCTATAGTGACCCACCTCTCTTTCCTGGGAATTTTTTGGTGTGTTAGTTCATGGTCTACCTGTGTTATTCCAGTAGACAATACTATTCATAGTGAGAAGTGCATAAGTCGGTATAATTAAGAGAGAAATTATGGCTGCAAAATATGAGATAGAGAAATTTCATGAGAGTAATTTCTCCTTGTGGAAATTGAAGATAAGAGCAATTTTGAGGAAAGACAATTGTTTTAATGCAATTGAAGGCAGACCTGCAGATATTTCAGAAGAAAGATGGAGAGAAATGGATAACAATGCTGTTGCCAATTTGCACTTAGTATTGGCTGATTCAGTGTTATCCAGTGTTGCAGAGAAGAAGACTGCAAAGGAGATTTGGGACACACTGATCAAGTTGTACGAGGTCAAGTCACTTCACACCAGAATATTCTTGAAGAGGAAACTCTACACTCTTCGAATGAGTGAGTCCACATCAGTAACAGACCACATCAACAATTTGAATACGCTGTTTGCTCAGCTTACAGCCGCAGATTTCAACATAGTAGAAAATGAACGTGCGAAGCTTCTACTCCAGAGTTTACCAGATTCATATGATCAACTCATCATCAATATAACAAACAACAACATTATTGGTCGTCTATCCTTTGATGATGTTGTTGGAGCAGTTCTTGAAGAAGAATCCAGGAGAAAGAATAAGGAAGATAGACTGGAAAATTCTAAACAGGCAGAAGCATTGACGATGATGAGAGGAAGATCAATGGAACGTGGTTCCAGTGGGAGCCAGAATCATGGTAGATCAAAATCTCAGAGAAGGAAGAACCTCAAATGCTACAACTGTGGCAAGAGAGGGCACGTGAAGAAAGATTGTTGGAACAAGAAGAGTGGAGGAGGGAAGAATATTGAAGCATCAACCTCTCAAGGTTGTGTTGCAAGTACTTCAGATGATGGTGAAATCTTATATAGTGAAGCAGTAAAATCTAAAGGTGGAAGACAACTTCATGAATGTTGGATATTGGATTCAGGTGCAACCTGGCACATGACTCCATGTCGAGACTGGTTTTACAATTATGAACCTATCTCAGGAGGATCCGTGTTCATGGGAAATGATCATGCCCTAGAAATTGCTGGAATTGGTACTGTCAAATTGAAAATGTATGATGGTACCATTCGAACAATTCAAGGGGTACGACATGTGAAGGGTTTGAAAAAGAATCTATTGTCCATTGGGCAATTGGATGACCTCAAGTGCAAGATCCACATTGAAGGTGGGATCATGAAGGTAGTTAAAGGCAATTTGGTAGTGATGAAAGCAGAAAAGATCACAACCAATTTATACATGCTTTTGGGAGATACGTTGAAAGAAGCAGATGCATCAGTTGCAATTAATCAAGAAGAAGAAATAATGATGTGGCATCGTAGACTTGGTCATATGTCAGAACGAGGCCTGAAAATTCTAGCAGAACGTAATCTCTTGCCCGGGCTCAAAATGGTAACCTTACCATTTTGTGAGCACTGTGTGACAAGTAAGCAGCATAGATTGAAGTTTGGCAACGTGACTACAAGAAGCAGACACATACTGGACTTGATTCATTCTGATGTATGGGAATCACCGGAAGTATCTATTGGAGGAGCAAAATATTTTGTATCATTCATTGATGATCACTCAAGGAGATTGTGGGTGTACCCAATCAAGAAGAAGTCAGATGTGTTTCCAGTATTCAAGGAATTTAAAGCACTAGTAGAACTTGAAACTGGGAAAAGAATTAAGTGCTTAAGGACAGACAATGGAGGAGAATATGTAGATGGTGATTTTCTGGCATTTTGCAAGCAAGAGGGTATTTCAAGGCAATTCACAGTGTCTTATACACCTCAGCAGAATGGTGTAGTAGAGCGGATGAACAGAACTTTTCTAGAAAGAACAAGAGCTATGCTAAGAACAGCAGGAGTGGCTAAATCTTTCTGGGCAGAAGCAGTGAAAACTGCCTGTTATGTAATAAACCGATCACCATCAACAACAATTGGTTTGAAGACACCAATGGAGATATGGAATGGAAAGTCACCTAATTATTCTTCATTACATGTGTTTGGATGTCCTGTGTACGTGATGTACAATTCCCAAGAAAGAACAAAACTGGATCCAAAATCCAGGAAATGTATATTCTTGGGTTATGCTGACAATGTTAAGGGGTATCGCTTGTGGGATCCCACTGCCTGCAAGGTTGTTGTTAGCAAAGATGTAGTCTTTGTAGAAAATGAAATGCAAAAGGAGCAGAAAGATGACAGTACTACCAAAGACACTACTTCAGTAGTGATAGAAAGGAAAGCTAAAGAAGATGACAACTCTGAAGCAGAACAAGAGCACGGAGAACAAGAATCAAATGATGCCAATGATGGAGAAACTCAACAAACAAGACGTGAGATAAGGAGACCATCTTGGCACTCAGACTATGTGATGGCAAGCCACGATGCATATTGTCTTCTAACAGATGAAGGAGAACCACCAACCTTTCATGAGGCTTTGAGGAGTTCAGATGCTTCATTATGGATGACAGCAATGCAGGAAGAAATTGAGGCCTTACATAAAAACAAGACATGGAAACTTGTTGAACTTCCAAAAGATCGAAAAGCCATTGGTTGTAAATGGGTCTATAAAATCAAACGAGATGGTAATGATCAAGTGGAGCGGTATCGTGCAAGATTAGTGGTTAAAGGATATGCTCAGAAAGAAGGCATTGATTTCAACGAGATATTCTCTCCAGTTATTCGATTAACCACAATCAGAATTGTTCTGGCAATGTGTGCTGCATTTGATTTACATCTTGAGCAACTTGATGTAAAGACTGCTTTTCTACATGGAGAACTTGAAGAGGAAATATATATGCTCCAACCAGAAGGTTTTGAAGAACAAGGAAAGGAAGACTTGGTTTGCAGGTTGACCAAATCTCTGTACGGTTTAAAACAGGCGCCAAGGTGTTGGTACAAGAGATTTGATTCCTTCATTATTAGCCTCAGATACAACAGACTGAGTTCAGACTATTGTACGTATTACAAGAGGTTTGGTGATAATGATTTCATCATTTTGTTGTTGTATGTGGATGACATGCTGGTGGTAGGCCCCAGCAAAGATCGAATTCAAGAATTGAAGGCACAATTAGCTAGGGAGTTTGATATGAAGGACTTAGGACCAGCAAACAAGATTTTAGGGATGCAAATACACCGAGACAGAAAAGATAGGAAGATTTGGCTCTCTCAAAAGAATTATCTTCGTAAAGTCTTGCGGCGCTTCAATATGCAAGATTGTAAGCCAATCTCTACCCCACTTCCTGTCAGTTATAAATTATCCTCAAGTATGTGTCCTAGCAATGAAGCGGAGAGGATGGAAATGTCTCGAGTGCCGTATGCATCAGCGGTGGGAAGCCTTATGTATGCCATGATTTGTACTAGACCAGACATTGCACAAGCAGTGGGAGCAGTCAGTAGGTTTATGGCAGATCCTGGTAGAGAGCATTGGAATGTTGTAAAGAGGATCCTTAGATACATTAAAGGAACCTCTGATGTTGCATTATGTTTTGAAGGATCAGAATTTATTGTCAAAGGCTATGTTGATTCAGATTTTGCAGGAGATCTAGATAAAAGGAAATCTACTACTGGCTATGTGTTTACACTTGCTAACGGAACAGTAAGCTGGTTGTCTAAATTACAGACTGTTGTGGCTCTGTCTACTACAGAAGCTGAATACATGGCAACTACCGAGGCATGTAAGGAAGCAATCTGGATTCAAAGGCTATTGGAGGAACTTGGACACAAGCAGCAAAATACTACTGTGTATTGTGACAGTCAGAGTGCTTTGCATATTGCAAAGAATCCAGCTTTTCATTCTAGAACAAAGCACATAGGTATACAATACCACTTTGTCCGTGAAGTAGTAGAAGAAGGAAGAGTGGATATGCAGAAGATCCATACTAAAGAAAACATAACAGATATAATGACAAAGCCAGTCAATAGTGACAAGTTTACATGGTGTCGGTCCTTGTATGGCCTATTAGAAATATAAGCAACATGTAATGTATTAGGAATGTATGTGAAGATATGATTAACTTAATCATAATCTTCAAGTGGGAGAATTGTTAGGAATGAAGTCCCACATCGGTGAGAACTTCAAGTGGGGGCCCCTCCTTTACTTATATAAAGGGTAAGGGTCCATCAAATTAAAAACATCCCAAAATCTTCTCTTTCCCTTTCATTTTGTATTACACCGAGTTTGTACTTGGTAGTAATAGTCTCCTATTTTGAGGAGTAAATTTTAGAGTGAGGAGTAGTGTAATTTTTTCTTCTGTTATAATTTTATATTGTCTTTACTGGCTCTTATTTTTCATCTCTTATTTTAGTTGTGTGTTATTATACTGATACTCTGGTCCTAACACAAAATACTCAAGTCAAATGAAACCCTTGAGGAAAGTTGTACTTTTGAAGCAGCTGACAAACAAACTTGCTCTATTGAAGGGGATATCACATTCATGTGTAATGAGGAAGAAGAGAGCCAAGAAAATAAGAGAAAGAAGGGGTGAAGAAAGCGAACATGAAGAGTACAATGACTTAAAGGACATTGAAGATGATGACCAACACAAGAAGAAGATGAAGAAGAAGCAAAAATTGAGTAAAGAAACCAAGAAAAGAAAAATGACAGAGGATAATGAAATAAAAAGCAATGAAGGTGAAGATGATGACCAAGGCAAAAATATGAAGAAGAAGAAGAAACTGTGTGACGAAAGCAAAAGCAAGGAGAATGGTGAGCTCAATAGCAATGAAGGTGATTCACCTTTGGCTAGAGTTGAGTCAGGAGATGGTAATGCAGGTTTCATTGACACTGAAGTTGATGATCAAAGCAAAAAGATGGAGATAAAGAAGAAAGCTGCGGCACATACTGTTGAATCACCTAATCTTGGTTCATCCCAACCCAAACGGGTAACTTTTTCTGATAAAGTGGAAGTTTGTTGTGATGGCTTAGTGCGTGGGAAATGGTTTACACCAGAAGAAGATGAGAAGATTAAATTGGCTGTTTATGACTATATTGAGTCTCATGGTTTGGGAGACGAAGGTCTAGACATGATTCTCCATTGCAAATCACATCCTGAAGTTAGAGAATTTTGGAAGGAAATTGGAGCAGCCTTACCCGAGAGGTCTAATGATAGTGTGCATTATCGTGCTCGTATTTTGTTTGAAAGGGATGAGAAGCATAAGCGGACACCTGAATAGCTTGAATTTTTACGGAAGGTCCAGGAACAACATGGATCTGATTGGGAATCAGTAGCTGAAGCATTGGGTGAACCTCGATTTCATGTAAAGGATGCATGGCGTACAATAAAATTAATGAATACAAATAAAGGGCGATGGACCCAAGGGGAGTATAAAAAATTATTTGATTTAGTAAACCTGGATCTACGTCCGAGGGCTTCAGATGGATATAGATCAAAACAAGATATGTTGCGAGATAATATTGGTTGGGAGGCAATTGGTGATAAATTGGCCACAAGAAGCAGAACACGCTGCTGCAAAAAGTGGTATGAGCAATTAACATCACCTATGGTTGCTAGTGGTGTGTGGAGTGATACTGATGACTATCGCCTGATAAGTGTTTTATTTACTCTGGATCCTTGCAGCATGGCAGAGGTAGATTGGGACAATCTGCTTGAGCATAGACCTGGTGATGTATGACAGCATGGGGAGAAGCCATTTGGTCAGCAGGTTGAAATTCTTGCACAAAGATTTTGCCCTGACTTATTGGAAGTGAGAGGCCTTGGATGAAAAACCTGTGCGATGTTGATGTTATTATCCTATAGGTTGGAGTGATTTTGTAGAACTGAAATGTATTAGTTTATGATTTTGTTTATTTTGCAAATTCAAAATTTTAGCTGTCTTGTAGTTGGAAGGAAGACGTAGGAAAACTATTTACAGCTTGTACCAAATTGAAATTAAATAATAAATATAATGAATTTCTTTTATCAGATGTGTACCACATTTATATTAGTGCATTTACCATGGTGCAAAGGAGGGAAAGGTGTATAAGTTAATTTTAGGGAAAATTGCTGAAAAATCAAGCCAAGCTAAGATGTTTGCTGACAGATGACAACTGATGACTTGATTAACAACTTGTCATTACCCATTTCCTAATTTCATTTTTTTTTAAATTTTAAAGTTGAATGTTTGTAGATTGTTTCTTACTTGTATGGTTCTCTCTCCTCCTTTGTTTCTGGACAATTCATCAGCATGAATGACTTCCTATTTTTTTATATGTGGCTTTGATAATTTGACAATCCAAAAGAGTGGTTTCAATTATTTTAAGACCGCCAAGACTTAAATTTGTGATTGCAACTTTGGGAAAAGATGGCTGCATAATGCTTGAGAAATGTGTGGATGATAGTAAAAATACTTCTTCCCCCTGGTTTGGGCCTTTTTCTTTTTTGTCTTTAATTTTCTAATATAAACTAAGTTGCAATTTACTTTCTTGTAGAGGGTTCTCTGTTATATATCTTTTAGATAAAGATTAGTTATAGATAAGATTATTAATTGTAATTAGTTTTTTGTTATCTTGTTTTATCTTATTAGAAGATAAAGATAGACTTGATTGTCAAGGAATAAAGGTTATAAATAAGACTCTAGTATAATCAAAAAAGAATATCATAATATAATATATTCTTGTGTTCCTTTTCTATTCTCGTGTGAGACTTGTAAGAGTGAGTGTGTTGAAGGTGTGAGTTTCCACCTTTAACAATTGTTTCTCACTTAGAAGAAATGGATGCCGACAGCTGTTTGATCTCATTAACAAGGAGAAAGGACAACAGCACAACCATGCCAACCTGCATATCCTCGGTAATAACCGGCTAAAACTCTTGTAGCCTTTTCTTTCCTATTGTGTCATAACACTAGAGTGAGTTTTGATTCTTATTGGCGCTAATAGTGGCAATGTGGCATATGACTGAGACCATAATTAGTAAACATGTGCGCCTTTAAGTAAACGTTTCTCTTCTAAAGAAAATTTGATTCAAATGTAATGTCTATGAAGCAAGTATTGCATTAATTAATCATGTTTACTAATATATGTCGCCATAAGATCACTTTTCATTCATAATTCTGATTTGGGTAAATTCCACTTGGATTGATTTTTACCTTAATCCTCCTAGTCCGTTACAAAATTTAGAGCTAACGGGATAGGAATATACGATGTGTGTGGGGGAGGTTATATTTGGGGTCAGCTGAAAAGATTCCACCATCAGAGCTTATTGATACAACTGATGGATGCCTTTTGGTATGTGCAACCTCTTCATATTAACTCAAACGTGCAAGCTGGAATTTTTTTATTTTTCCATTGGACATATTCTACTGTATTACAAAACAGCCACAAGGGTTTGTTAATTAATGTGACATATAAACGAATTTGTTGATTGCTTTTTATGCTAATTAAGGAAGCTACTAATGTAGAGCTATTGATGCTCGTAGTGATCTTCCATATTGCACTGGTCCATGCCTGGCATCCTTCACTTGTGTTCTAGTTTAAAATTTATCATTTAGCCCAAATGATTGAATTTTTATCTTATGGTTTTAGTTTTTATTTTGTAATTTAAAACTTTTATAATTTTAGGCAGAACAAAAATGGAGAGAGAGAAAGGTTAGGCACATTATTATTATGTATAAATCTTTATAACATAAAATAAATAAAAAAGCACTGTTCTGTACTCTAAAATTTGCATCTTCCTTTGTTTGTGAGCTTTGGACGAGATCTCTTTCTCTCCCATTTCCATTTCCAATCAACCACATTTTTCTCTCTCCATTTCCGTCATTGTTGCAAGAGATTCGTAGTTTCATTTAAAAAAATAAAAACTTGAAAGTTGATGACTGCTCCGCCGGCAAGGGTTCGTGCCGACTATGATTATCTTATATAGTTTTTTTTTATCAGTGACAGTGGTAAAAATGCTTTTTTCTAATTTATTTTTTAGTAAAAATTATTTTAAAAAATTGTGATAAAAACGTAGACAAAGAGAAAACAAATATGACGTTCTTTCTGTATAGCTACAACAATGAAACAATGATAATGAATTTATTTCGATTATCAAATCAATTGAGACATACAGTATAAAAATATTTTTTGGGAAAGAGCACTTGCATGGAATTCTCCATGAAAAACATATCATTGCATTTGTTTTCATGGCCAACATCTAAAACAACAAAGTACGGGTTCAAACCCAAGGATATGTAACGAGCAAAAAAGAAAAAATTAGAAAAAAAACTCAAACTAAAAAATTTAAGCTAGGATGAAATAGGAATTGTGCCAAAAACTTGTCACAAAGCTAAGAGAATACTACAGTTTACTTTATGCGCTCAGAATGATAACTTTAGAAATAACTTTCAGCATATATCAAATAATTTTTCACTTTTTAAACTCAATTCTTTCACTTTCTTTATTTAGATCTCAACTTCAAATTTAGTTTTCTGCACAAAATTAACCTTTTTAACATACTTATTCTAGAATTGAGATAAAATTTAAAATTATAATTTATTCGCACAACTTTGAATATAAATACAATTTTTATGGTATTTTTAATTTTATTTATTATTAACTACTTATTTACTGCTAAAAACTAAACTAAAATATTAGTAAAATATGAATTTATCATAAAAAATTAAAAAAAGTTCAAACTAAAAAATTTAAGGAGGATAAAACAGAATAGTGATTCAAACATACCAGTTTGTATTAAAAAATATATAAAAGACTTTTTTATAATAAAAATAATTTATAATAAAAATAAATTTAAATTAAATAAACCAGTTATATTCATTAAAGGTATATGATATCCCTTCAACTACGTTGGTATAGGAGCAATCACTGTTTATCAAAAATTACAAAATAATGCAATTATATTAATAGTTTGTAAATATAAGGAACTCAATAAACCACGTAAAAGTTGTATGTTTTTTTTCTTTTTATATTTTTCATGTAAGTGCACTTTTCAAAGATAAAAAATGTAAATGTTTTTTTTTTGTTTACCTATCAAATCAAACTCCACTTGTTTGACTTTGCTTCCGACCAATGACAAATCGGGAAACCATTCGAAGGGGCGGAAAGAAAATAAAGTTAATAATAAGAATATCATATATTGAATACAAGTTAAATACAATGTACTTTTTTATTTAAGTCGTGCACATCGGTCCTTTATGTCATAAAATTCGTCAATAATGGAATTAGTGTCAAAATTTAGATTGATGTTATTCAATGGCAGCTATTTGTGTGGTTGATGGAAGAGCAGAAAAGTTAGCTTGAGGACACTCGTCAACTTTTCTTTTGAAATATGCTTCAATTGTTGATTTTTTACTCATAATTTCATCCTACAATAACAATGACATTAAAAATACTTTAGAATTTATTTATCAAGCAAAGTAAAAGCATAAATGAATAAAGCTTAAATAAAATATACCAGTATACTACTAATTTTTGTATTCAAGAAGAATGGTGGAAAAAAAAACCTAGAAGAATGATTGCTTCTTTCTCTCATTGTTATCTGTCTCGCTGAGTCGCTGTTGTTTGAAGTTGGAAAAAAAAAAACTTGAAATATGATAAGCATTGATGATAGAAATTAAAAAAATATATAAAGAATGAGATTTTTTACTTGACTTATTGGAGAAGCTTTCAAGTTCAACTCTCAATATAAAAGGCAAAGAGTGAATTAATGTAGTAATGTTACTGAGTATGATACAGTGGTGGGTTAAAGAGAATTGTACTCAAATAACTAATTTTTTATTAATTTCTTAAAGTCAATAATAATATTTCGTATTTTGAGAGGAGGGAGGTACACTGGTGATGATATAATAAACAAATATAATATTATATATGCATAGTATTCAAAGAAAAAATATAAAAGAGGGAGTCAAAGCCCCACCTTGCCCTCTTTATGTTCATCACTGCTTTTGACTGATTCTCTTTTCTAACGAGTAAAGCATGATGTAATTTCTATGTTTTGAAATTTTTTTTAATTAACTTTTAAACAAAAAAGTGATGTAATCTATATTTTTTTTTATCTTTTTTTTTTCTATTTTTTTACCTTTCGTTTACTTTATGCTCCAAGTTTCTAAATAAAACTTAAATAAATTATGAATTTATACCATCAAATAAACTTTAAATAATGTTAATTCTTAAATTATCTTTAAAAATAAAATTATATATATAAAGATAAATTTTGTCATTTTTAAGAATATTGTCTAATTTAATAATTAAAAAATAAAATAATTAAAACAACTTTCATATTTTTATTCCTTTTTATTTTTATAAAGATTAGATTATTCAATTATTCTATTACATTACATATACAAAGAAAATAAAACATTAAGACACATCACTCTCTTGAAATACCAATTTTTTTACTCAAGACTACAGACTGCTGTTTCTTTTTTCATCTACTTTGGCATATATTTTAAAATTGTTAAAGTATATATCTAGTTTTTATTATTAATACTTATTTTTAAATTAATTCTTATATTTAAAAAATTAACATTTAATTTTTATCCAAATATTTTATTACATTTTAGTCTTTCTTATAATACTATTAAAATATAATTAATAAACAAACAATAATTTTGATTAACGATGTTATCTTAATAAAGGTTAAAATATAATAAATAATTCGAATAAAAACTAAAATCTAATTTTTTTTAAATACGTAAATTTGTTTTAATTACCTACGTTTCCTGTCTCTCTCTCCTTCAATCAATTCTCTTTCTTCTCACACTGATTACTTCACTAGCATTCATCCCTTTGATTTCCTACGTTTTCACTTCACTCTACACTACAATGAATTGTTCATCACATTGTTTGTACTTTTGCTCCTATCCGTTCTTATTCTTATGCCATCACGTTATGTTCCTCGGTTTTTTTTTTCTTTTTTTCTTTTCATTTAATTGGAGCTTTAAAAGAGATTTTTTTTAAGTTTTATTGCAAATGGTATTATATAAAATGAATTACATAGTTTATTTGTGATGCTAAGTTTGGGAAGAAATGAGAGAGGATAACATATTTTTTAATTTTAAATAAAAATTATATATTATTTATGACAGTAAATATATAATTACTATATTAAATTTATATTAATATATCAATTTATATAATTTATTTTTAAAAATATTTAAAATACAAAATTTGTGTTCCCTTCTCTTCTCTAAAAACTTTTTTCTTGAATAACTCTTAAATGTATTTTCTAGTCAGAGACTAGATACTGCATATTTTTTAAAATAATAAGTAAATTTAGATAAATGGTTGAGAAACAATTACATAAATTACTTGATCTCAGTTGACTGGGTTGTTTGTCAGATCATGAACTGCTCATATTCATGTATGAGAGTTATACAAATTGTTAAATTATATTTTTGTAATGATTTATTAGATATGAAAACTACTATTTACATGGTTTATCCTGGGGACTGTTATTTTTTCTTTCGTTGTCTAAGATTTATATGGAGCCAAAAAATTAAATATTCTCAACAAACATGCTATTAGCATTTTATTGGCCCACTATAGTTTTGCCCCTTTTTTTTTGTTTTTTCTTTACTATTTTTGTTTTCAGATTGCCATCAAATCTCAAAATGGTCTTCCCCCCAATAGGTTTTTTTGTGCGGCATCTGCAGATTTAATAGTAGTTATTTGTGGGTTTTATCCAATTTAGGACTCTAGATCCTGCTCTAGGTATAAATCATAATTAACAGTTAAACTTTCAGCTAATGGTATAGAAGTCTGTTTGCTTTAGACACCAATTTTTTGTACACTACGTTGTTCTTTCTTTGGAATTCAACTCTAAAAAGGAAATAGAATTTTTTATTTTAACAGTGGATATCTTATGAGTCATAAGCTTTTGAAGTCTTTTTCCATTCCAAGTTAAGTTTTCCCATATGAAAAAATATTTGAGGTCATCCTGAATTAAGCTCACCTTCTTTGGTTTGGTTTGGTTTGCAGTTTCCAGTAAAATTGTGGCAATAAATGGCTTTACATTTCATTTTGCCATAAATTAGTGCAAATTTGTCAATAGTTACTAACAATCTATGTAAATTCCACAGTGCTCTAAAAATAATAGAGTATTATATGCACTTGTATATTTGGAATAATTATAACCGTTAATTTTAGTGATAAAGTTAATAGTGTACTTAAAAAAGACATAAATATATTAATATAATTTAGAGAGAGTATTCAATGCACTCTTAAGTTTAGACGCACTATATAAGGATTTCTAAGATGATACTTTTTTTTGCTTTCTCCATGTTCGGCCCGAGAAAAGTTACCTTTTAAATTTATAATATATATATATATATATTGACACTAGGTATAAGTCTTTTAGATTTACACTAAATTATAATTCTACAAATCAAATAATTTAACGGTTAAAAAGTTACTTAAATAGTATATAAAAAATAATAATAATAGAAAGAAATAACTTTTCAACACTTAAATTATTTTATTTGTACAGTTGAGATTTAGTATAAGTCTTTTAGACTTATACCTGATGTCAATAGATCTTTTATATATATATATATATATATATATATATATATATATATGTATAACAAAAAAATAAATTGTTAATGTAAACTTTGAAAATTGATACTAACAAATAATAAATTATATTAAGATGTATTCATAATATATATTAATATTTTATTAAAAAATTAGTTAATGATATAATATATCATAATGTTAATATTAATTCATAATGTGCAGAATAAAAGTTTAATTTTCATTAGAAAAAACTTATACTAACTAAAAACACTAACATCAAAATGTTAGTAAAAGAATTGTTGTAGTAGTGTGTGCTTTGAATTTTGAAAACATTATTTAATTACTAAATTTATAATTTTTCTTAAAATTACTATATTAATATGTAATATAAATATCAATAATATAGTATTCTATGTATACATTGAACAATTTATTAGACATGACAAGTTAATACTTACATAACATGTTAGAATGATCTATTACTTATCTCTATTTTTATCAGATTAATCTTAATCTAATTTATGATGAGAAAATTTTTTAAATTTAATTTATATTCTATTTTTAGAATAGAGAGTAATTGAATAATTATTTGTTTAAATATTTATTCAATAAATTTATTTTAAAATGATAATTTATGTTGTAAATTTAATAATAAAATTTATTAGAATAAGCTAAAAAAAATTGTTTTAATAAATTATTTCAAAGATATTGTTGTAATAAGTTAAAAAGAATTATATAAGTCAAATTATTTTAAATTTTGTTACCTTCAACTTTTATGATTGAGTTTAAGTATTTACAAATAAAAAAATTTTATAAAAAAAATATACAGGTATTATATTAAAGTTATAAAAATATAATAAATATTTTTTTAATAAAATTTTATTATTATTAACTATTTATTTAAATAAGATTAATAAAATTTAATTATTTTGACAAAATGATTACAAATTCTTTTAATCTAAATCTTGTACAGGCAATCCAATTAGTACTTTGAATTTAACAGATTTGGGTGTTATCATACTTAACAAAAAATTATTAAGACCTTTTTGTACTGCATTTCAATAACATATATTCTACCTAAAAATTAATATGCATGCTAGTTTAAAAATGAAAAATTTACCTCCCTTCCGTTTCTTCTAAATTCCTGTCCCACACATTCATATGAAACTGTTGAACTTGAACCCCTCGTTAGCCGTTGGTTCTACACCTTCAACCATTGTCCCTTATTCATCTCAGCCACTTTCGTCATTGCCGAGGTCACCTTCTGCTCCTTTCCCTTCTTCTTGCTTCTCTCTATTTACTTGCTTATTTCTATTTTCACTGTATATGCATCATATTTATTCACCAATTAATTATAAAACAGATAAGAAAATATAGAACCCGTAAACAAATACAAGGAAGAGAAAAAAAATGGGTAAGCACCAAGCAGGCTCTGTTATAAGGGGACATTGTTATTACTGAATAGGGGATATAGGGGTTTAATCGCTATGCCCCCAAGCTATTTGAAAAAATGTTATGTCTATACTGCAAAAGTTACCATGGGATATATTCATGAATTAAAGGTATTATTGAGAAGGTACATTATGATCTCAAGGAAAGAAACTTTGTAGCATGGCTTGCCTGGAATTTATTTTATTTTATTTTAAATTCCTTCCTTATGGTTAAATTTCTTCCTATTTTATTTTAATATTGTGGACTGAAAACAAATTGTTAATGACAGATCAACTAGTTCTTCCTAATGGGATGTAGGTCTCTGTCCTACAATACACTCTTTCCAGCTCTTCTAAAGGTTGCAAAGTCCCATTGGCTACCAATCTCTCAAAGGTTAGGACTTGGGAGGATTATTCTCACTTCTGTCATTATTCTTGTTTGGATGCAGATTTGTATTTTGTTGAAATATTAATTTTAGATGATTTTTCTTGACAATAACTGAAATACCTCATATTTGTTACCCTTTCAGGTCAAAAGTGTTTCATGATTCGTATCCAAGTGTGCTACGACATTGTTGTAATAATGGTTCTCCGGTGAATTTTCAAGGTTACCTTTTCGTTACAATTTTTTTAACATCTGATCAATAGAACGGGTTATGGTAGTGTATTAATAATTAGAATTACCCATTTGATATATTCATTGCTGAATTTCAGTTAGAAGACAAATTCCTACTTTAACCTATGAACAGAAACCATTTCATGACTTTTATGCACTAAATCAAATGCTTCTGTATGTTTCCTACTTTACTTTTAGGTTAGGATTAGGAGAACATAGGAAATGTATCTCCTTATTAGTTTCCATGTGAAATCTTGGTTCCATTGTCATTTAACATGTTTTTCATTGGTGAATTTTTTGTAGAAAATCATGAACCAAATTCTTGTTTTCAATAAACATAGCAAATGAAAAACAAAGGGGCATTCATTTTCATTTCTCTACCCAATTATGTGATTTAACGCCAACATTTAAAATCCTACCTTTTCTATTTTTTCGTTGCTTTAAAGTTTGACCTTATAGAATAGATTTTATTAATATATAAATATTAATCTTCAGGAAACAACAGGCTTCTTTTCTAGTCTTCATGCATTCAATTAATATTGGTTATCTAGCGTCAGTTCCTTTGAACTAATGAATTGGATTTGCAGCATTGAGATCATATGCACGTGGGAAACGCAAAGACTATGATCTCTTTGGCAGTGGACGACCAGGGGATGAAGGGTTCAAGAAAGCTTGGGCACAGGAGATGGATGAAGATAACACTCTATGGACGGGAAGTGAGGATGAAAGTGATGAAGAAATGGGTTCAAAAAATCATCTTCATAAGGAGATAAGGAAAGCAAGACAGGAAGCTAAAAAGCATGCAGATCTGATTGATGCTGATGACAGTGATGAGTTAAGAAGTGTCTGGTCTGGCAGTGACGAGGAGAAGACGCTGTGGACTGGTGATGAAATGGATAGTGATGATGATATTCCTACAGAAGCTTACCCAAATGAAAGTAGCGATAAGTACTTAGATAAATTATTTGAGTTTGATGAAATGCCCAAATACCGAACCATCTCTGAGATGTTAAAAGCTGAACAAGAGCCTGAGGAGTTGTCGCCGGGAAAGCAAGCTAGGAAAATTGCAGTTGAGAATGCTTTAAAGAAATTAAAGAAAGGTCCAGATGGAAGGTACACCAATGTGTGGGAGGTTATGAGTGATTTAGATATTCTAATTGGAGCATTTGAAAATGTTGTTTCAGGACCAGAGTATGCAGAGCTTAGACAAGGAGGACCTAAACAACTAAATATTCAGTTTTTCAAGGACATACAAGCCCGTATGAGAGATCCAAATTACAAGTTCTCACCTGAGTTAAAATTGAAACCAAAGAGTAAACTGGTTTCAAGGAAGAAGTGGCAAAAGGCCGAGTCTAGAAGGAGGAAAGCAAGAAAGAGATAAAGCTAAGTCTATTTTCTCAATGTTGAAGATTAAGTTGGGCTGAATGGCTGATAATGTTTCTGTATCTTTGTACAGTTCATGCTACATAATGCATGAGAATCGTATTTGTACATTGGTTGTTCCAGAAATTATACGCTGGCTGCATGGCTTTTGCCTACCTTAAATCACAGCTTCCATTTTTTTAACTCAAAACCATTAAATTTTGTATTCTTTTGATTGATCTGTAAAAACAGTTAATTTTGTTTTTCACAGTATTCATGATGAAGGTTATTTTAATTGATCTGTATATTGGAAGAAGGTAAAATTAGTTGGTTTATTTTGTCTATTGTTGCTTTACTACCCAATAATTCATATCATTTTGTTAACGAAATTCAACATTCACTTTCGAATCCATTGGATAGTGTGTGCATTCAAATTCTTTTTGCAGATAAATAATTTCGGCTTTGATCACTCACCTGCTGCATTATAATTTATAATGTTTTAGTGTATATAAGGTGCCTAGCTTAAATTCATGTAATTTGGTATGATGAGACCTATAATGTACAGGAAGTTGACATAATGTATGTACCTATGTAGAGAAAGAGAAAAGTGTTTTTCTTTTCAAGGAATCTCCATACTATCAATATATTATTTGGGATCACCCTAAGCTAGTACAATTTTTATAAAATTTGAACAACTCCATATAACATTTCAATTAATTAAAACAGTAATATTTATTAAAAGTGTAGTTTACTAACCTGGACAAAATAAGTTTACTAACTGTGGTGAGTACTTTGTATGATATACCTGAAAATATTACAACGATATTTATTTAGTTTAAAGAATTCTAATTGATTAACATGTACTTTCTTTAAGAAAAACAAAATTTAATACCACATAAGGAGATCACGCTTGTTCTTTCTATTCACCAAGTGGATGCTTGTAATAATCAAAGTCTAAAAAAATTATTAAAAAAAAAAAAACACAAGTGCATAAAATAAAACATACTAGGGAGTAAAAATATAAGTTAAGAACAAAATAGAACAATACACAAAAATAAAAAGAATAGCACTGGACCATACCTTTATTGGTTGAAAGAAAAATCAATTGAGTTGACTAAATTATGTTGCTAGAAACAAAGGGAGTGTGGCACACGTTGAGGTCACTCTTGGCTTACCTGTAACCCATGTCATTCATACATCCTTTGAAAGACTGCAGATTATAACATGTAAAATAAATTATATATTTAATTAACACTAGTTTGACTACAATAACGAATCGTTTCTTTCAAAATTAATCCTCTCTCTTATAAAATGAATTTAAAAATTAATAAAATTGTCAATACAAATGTATTCGAGAAACCACATCTCGAAATCAAAACAAAATTGGCACTTTTCAGTATCCGATTCTGATCCTTGGTTATTTTCTTGTTGGGAAATTTAATTTTTGATTTATCTAGAGATAGTTGCATAATTGGAAATTTTCCTCCCCTACCAAGCAGGTTCTTAATTAATCATATTTGCACGGTAGTTTTTACTTTCTAAGGTATTCAGTATTCAATCCACATATATGTCTACTTTAAAAAAAATAAAATTATGAGCATTATGCAGTTTAAACACTTCAGTTCTATCTAATATAGTACAGTTAATCTATGCGGATCATAAGTCTCGAATAGATTGTTAACTGGAAAAAAAAAATGAAATGCTAATATATATTTTTCTATTTTCTGCTACAAAATTTTATAAGTAATTTATATTAAAAATTATAAATTGATGCATTGTTGTTTCTTAGAATAGGATAAAGTCAGAGAGGAGTTGTCTTGAGAATTATCAAACATCTGGTTCAGATTTTATTATCCTAATCCATTATATTACTGTGTTTATAAATTAGGATAAATTTAATTTTTATGATATGCACTTAAAATTATGTAATTTTCCTAATTTTAAAAATTATACCTCTTTACTTAAGAGATAAATATAATATACTTTAATTTATATTAATATAAAAGATTAATGTGATGAGCAATTAAGTCAAGTCTCTTGTTTACATGTCCCCCCACTCCACAACTTTCATATTATTTATTGATTTTAAAATTATAAATATGAATGGAAGGCTTAAGCATCCTTTCAATTGATTTTGAAATTTCATCCGAAATTTTTACTTCACTTTTTAAAATCTCAAAATCAGTTGTAAGTTGTCAATAATAGTTGTTTATATTAAAATATATATTTAATTTAAATACTGACAATGTAATTTTTACATTGTCATTTAATTATAAATTTTTATATCATTAAGAATTATTAATTTTTGTCATAATTATTATAAAAGTGATATTTATTACATATTTTATTAATTAATAGCATAAAATTTTTTACATCACATCAAAATTAAACTCTTAAAATATACAAAAATGTAGCATATTGAAATTTTTAAAATATATATACCTCGATAAACAGTGTAAACAGCTACCTCGAGTAGAGAGTAATTTATCCAATAAATTATCATACTTGGACTAGACATAGAAGTCACTTTATTTTAGTACAAATTGTGGCATTGATAAGCTATTAAAGCTCAATAGTTTTCAATAGAATTTTTGTGACATGCCATATTCAAGGGAATGGGAGGTTCTGAGAAAGCTCCAGTAGAAATTTGATCAAAGATAAACTTGTTAGCTGCCTCTGTGTAGTGGACCCCATCCCAATCCACTCTAACAAGTGGCCTTTCACATGAACCCACAAAAATTTTTGTGCCATTGACATCTATGGTTCCTCCACATCCAACACTATCACTATAATTGTACTCCCCTCCATAGCCACAACAAGCAATTAGTGGGTCCTCAAATCCTGCACATCAGTGAAAAATAAACCACTAAAAAGTAGAAAAATATTAACATTAATTCTTTAATATAAATTTAAGCAATTAAAAGTAGTAAAAGTTTTTAAAAAATATTTACTAAAAGTTATTTAATTATAAGATTGTCATCTTATTTTGATTTATTTCTTTTTTTTTAAAGATTGTATAGGAAAAATACTGAAAATAACTTTTATATATATTTCACTATTTCTTATACAAATATTCGAAAACTGGAAATAAAACGAAAAGGTAGTAAATGTGTAATTTTGTAAAAAAAATTAAAACAAAATATATTTTGAAATGAAACAAGACTTATATTTTTGTATTTTTAATAAAATAAAACTATACTTTGCAATATAATTTTATTACTTTTATATTTTAGATGTTTATAATTAGTTATAAGGCTGATTATAACAAAGCTATGAAAAAAATATTATGGGTAAATTTGTTCATTAGGGTAAAGAGTATGATCATTGTAATTTGGCTCACCATATTTTTTAGGATTGCTGAAAAGGGAGTACTTGACAGAGTAGATATCTACATATGTGATTGCAGCTAGAGGAAGGTCTTTGCGAAGTTGAACCACAGCTTCCTTTAACTTTTGGTTGAAATATTTAGCTACTTCATTATATGGCTTTGCACAACCATAGGCATCCCTTTCAGCTGATAGAAAATTGGCCAAAATATAAGAGAGGCAGCCAATGGGTCCTGTGTTGTGTATCCAAAATGATCTAGCTCCCAAATCATATATGCTCTTGATTACCAGGATCATCAATTTAGAATAATAAGTTAAGAAATTAACTAAACAATAAAATATGCAATAAGGGTATTAATTGAACTACCTTAACATTTTTTGAGAAACTATTTACTACATCAGGCACTGTAGCATTGACTTGTTGTACAGTCATGTTTCCAAAAAAGCCAGCACCAAGATCATTTTGACCAATATCAAATGTGTACAAAGCTTCAGAAAAATACTCTCCTTTGGGCATCAAGCTTGCAAAGATGCCTCCTGTAGAAAAATATTAGAACAAAAGCAAACTAAATTATGTCCTTATAACTAAGAATATAATTTTTTTCCTTTACCTTGATGTCTAATGTTTTGTGTTTTAGATTTGAACTCTCTGAATTGAGTATACTCAACATCAAGGTAGAAAGGGCTGAATCCACCCAGAGGTAAAACACTAGGTGGAGGTCTAATTGTTGATCCTGCTGTAGCAAAGTTTGCACCATGAGAGAAGTTGGTCCCCAAGGAATCAAGATATGCACTTAGATAAGGTAACCCAAAACTCTGCGCTGAAATGACAAAATTAAGGATCAAAATTGGTATTTAAAACCTTTCATTTTGTGATAAAATTGATTAATATTAAATTCCTGCATGTGATATGAAATTCGGGCTCAAACTTAATTCAGTAAATTCAAAAGGAACGTATCGTCACATCTATAAGGTGGTCCCATCTATACCTTTCTCAGTTTACATTTCTCAGTTTGTTTTACATAAGGTGGTCCCCTTCAGTTCAAAGAAGCTTTGTTGATGGGTGGACCTAGTAATAGACTAGTTGCTACCCCTAAAGCTACCTTATCCATTCATGAAACTCCAGTTCTATTTTCTGCAATATTACAAAGTTACTAAGCAGCAAACTTCCTTCATCCTTTTCCCACCAGAAATAGACTTTGAAAGAGCTTATAAAAATAATTTATGATTCCTACAAATTCTTTTTAATTTATTTTAACAAACTTTTTAGTAAAAAATAAACTGTTTTCACTTTGTATCTTGATCTAATAAGTTTTATGGCTAAATTTATAACGTAAGTCATCTTATAAAAAAGTTTATTGAATAGGAACTTAATTAAGTCGTGTATCCTAACACATTTTAAACTCAAAGAAAGGAATCTCTAAAAGAACTAAAATATTTATACTTGGATCAGTTGCATGTGTATTACGCTGAACAAAAGCATATTTTACCACTCACTACATCATTAGAGTTTCTACACAAAGAAGCCCTGGCTTAATAAAAAAATTTATCAACCAACAGAAGGGAATAAAATATATTGAAAACGGACAAAATGAAATAAAATTGACATTATTTGAATACTTTATAAAATAATATTAATCCCATTACATATCTTCTAAATTGGGAGGGACAAAAAAAATAGAGAATGAGATAGAAAGCATTTCATTAGTTGTAATTCTATTTCATTAACATTTTAACAATTCAAACAATGAAACATAATAATTTTTCACTCTATTTTATTCTATTTCATATTTACCACTTATTCAAGCATAGGTTCTACTTCTACACGTGTGTTAGACATGTACGTCAAAATACAAGTGGTAAATGATATTAAGAGTACCTATGAAATCAATGATAAGACGGCCATCAGAGAACCTTCCTTCGGGTCTGCGAAAATAGGTCTCTCCATAAGGTGGTGTTGGTGCTAAAATGGAAGCAGCTAAGCCACCAGTATCTGAATTTGAATCACCAAAGTTGAAGATGGCAGGGAAAGCACATTCTCTGGTTGCAAATACTGGGTTCACTACTATGGTAGCGATAGATAAAACCACAAAAAATGAGACATGAGGGATATGAAACTTGGTAAGGCTAGGAAACTCCATTGGGGAGTAGTTCAGACACAAAGGGACATGGGAAGGACCCTTGGATCTTTATACCAGTACTTCTAATGTATACCTTTCTCACACGACAAATTAAGGGTCAACTTCTGAATTTATATGTATTAGTATGATATTCTATTCATCATACATGGTAGTATTTTCATTTGAACCTGTTCTAACCACGTGCAGCATAATTATTTTCTAAGTTTTTTAGTTTGATTGAAATAAATCTAATAATATGTTGACACTATATTGAAACCTACCAGTTAATTTTTGACAACTACATGAGACAGCGATTGAATGATAGATCTAGATGCATAAGATTTTTAGATTTTTGTAAGAATCAAATTCAATGTTGTTATTTGTATTTTGTCAATTTGAGTTGTGCACGAAATCACCAAACAGAAGAAAAGGAAAATTATAGGATGAAGTGAAGTGATTTTACTCAATTGCCGGCGGAGATTTTTCCATTCCTGGAGGGAAATGTTTAAACTTTGAAATTAAATTGATCCAGAATGAAGAACGGGTATGATTCCATAATTGTAATTTCCTGTCATACCAATCAGATTCTTAATCATATGGTGATCGCTTGGTATTCCTAATAAAAAGGTTAAAATGTTAATATCTGCGTGGTGGCATTACGTTATAAAATAAACTATATTTTTAATAAAAGTCTATTTTCTTCAATTTATGATGTTATAAAGTTTAAAAGTCTCGATTGAGCATTGGTACTATGCAGTTAATCGTTTACAACGTTGTCATGATTCGAATTATTAGTCTGACAGATTGATAAGCATAAAAAAAATCCGAATTCAATGGATCAGGAACGTCATAAAGTCTATTTCTTTTTTCTTTTTTTTTTCATTTTGGCATGAGGGATTATTATATTATCTTGGTGTGATGCTATAACTTTAGTAAGAAAGATAAAATAATGATGCTGATAAGGAATTATAGAATGTTCCGTTTCTAGAAAACTGAGGAGAGCAAAACTTCCACTGGGCAAAAAAGACGGTTCTCACAATGGAAATGGGACTAATTTTTCTAAATATTTTTCACATAATAAAACTAGCTTGAGAATATTTAATTACTGACGGTTACACGCCACCCTTAAAAATGTACTCCTAATTACTTTCTAAGTTTTACTTATCACCCCACCAAATACATTTACTTCAGATCACAGTCTAGGACAGATCTGCCAAGGAGATTGTAGAGGCAAAAAAAAAAAAAAAAAAAAAAAATATATATATATATATATAAGAGAAATTTTTTTTACATTAACGTAAGTTTAAAATTTTTTACTTTCAATCTGAATCTTTTATTTAACTTATATCTAATAAATTATAATTTATTACTTCACTTATCATTAGATATAAATTAAATAAAAAATTTAAATTAAATATAAAATTTTTTAAATATAATTTTTCTCGTATATATATATATGAAGCATTTCAAGTGAAAAAACTTTGTTATTACAAGAAATGAGAGACATTAATAATAATCATTAGATCAAATAAAAAAATTAAATTTAATATTATTATTTCACTACCTACTTTTTTTTCTCTTTTATCAATTAATTCTCTTTTCTTACCTCTTATCTCTTGTAATAACAAACTCTTCTCACTTAATATGTCATATATATATATATATATAAAGAAAAATAATAATAATAATAATAATAATAATAATAATATATGGTATTAATTTTTAGTACTTCAAGTAATAAAACTATTATTGATATCCTGAGTATTTAATGAAGTATGTTATATTTTTAATGCTATTGATTTACATGTACGTATTGCTCCGACCGCTTCAAATTTCTGGATCGTTGTTATCACTGAGAATAATTGAGTCCATCCTGTTATTTATGTTAAATCTAAACCCTTGATTAATTTATTATATGAGATATGATTTTATCTAAATTATCAAGGTCTTACATAAAGAAGTCGACCAAGGGCAAATAATAACATGTTTTATGCTTTTATTATTATTATTATTATTTTCATCTATGATATTTAAAAGATTACATAAGATCATATTTTAAATAAGAAAATTAACAGTCTAGATTAGTATGAACAAAAAGTTAAGTCTGATTTAACAAGAGAGTGAAAACTTATGACCATGTTAGTCTCGAATTAGTCAGTAAAATTCATTAAAGTTGGTCACGGTAGTTCTTAAACACTAAACATTCTAGTATCTAAAGGGGATCGAAATAGTTGACATTTGCCATTCTTAAGGAATAAGGTGAGATATTTGCATTGTCAATAAAATTAATGTGTTTATATAAAAGATAAATTTGAGGGTACAGTCATGTGCAGTGGCGACCCTAAGGTGAGAGGGTGCAAAAACATAAAATTAGGGGTGCAAAATATTAAAAAAAAAAATTATATTATTAATAATAATTTATTAAAATTGAAAAGATTTATGAAAGTTGAGGATGTATGTGTATCCGCCACTGGTCATGTGACAACCATGTGCATCCGCCACTGGTCATGTGAAAATGTAACATCGCAAGAGATATTGAGTACGAGGTCTCAGAACAACCCCCAACCTCGCCACCGCTATTTTTCCCCCAAGAAACAAAAAACTCAAACAAAACATATTCAAAAGAAAGTTGTCTTTCATCCGTGTTAGACTATGATATCAGAATACTAATATGTCCGCACCTCTTGCCCTACAAGCAATGTATGTTTGACTCTTAAATCGTATTCATTGCTTGACATTTTTGTATCCTATCCTTTCTTCCATGATATAAATCCATAACAAACCAATATTTCTTGTCAATTAAGAAACGATCACACAAACTAAAATCAGACAATATCACCAAATGCAACTCTGATGTTAAGAAGCATCTTTGAACCACACTAATCAAACAATTCATTTGAAAATAACTTTCACTTGTCTTTTCCTCTTAGTTTCTGTTTTTCTTCCCAGTAATATAATATTTTACCCCAAAAGTTTTGACAATCTAATTAACTTAAAAAAATCCCACACCTGTAATAGTTTTTAATTTAATTCTTACAACTCTTACATATGTCTATTAATCACATTTTCATTAGGGAAAGCAAAAAAAGCTTGCCAAACCATCTGTGCATATATTAATGAACTTCTAACCTCCATATCACCAGATTTGACTATGTAGGAAGCACAATTTTTACCAGGTATTTCAAGCAAATAGTGGGATTCCAGATTCTTCAGCAGATGAAGGCTGCAATGCACGAATACGAATGTCATATTTGGTATGACTGACCACTTTGTTGCTAGGAGATGATTCTCCTCCATCTGACACTACAGGGAAGGATGAAGTGTAACCATTATATGCATTTCCAATATGATTGCCACACTTGCGACAAAGAAGCTTAGTTCTTCGGCGGAACAAACCCCATGAGTGCTTATCAAAATGGGGCATACATTGAATTTCATCAACCTGGGTAAATCTGCTAAGATCAATATTGAAGAATGATATTATGCCTCGCTTTAAGGACTTCCCATATTTAGATCCAATGGATGAAGTGTTCCGGTTTGAGGAGGATAGGTTCAGCTCATAACCACAAGCACCACAGCTGCCAAATATATAAAGAAAAGGTATTGTAATTGCAACAACAAAAATAAACAACCTCAGATTCTTCACATGTAAATCATAACAAAAATAACAATCTTAGTCCTCAATGTATGTATTATTAATATAAACAAGTGTAATGACCAAGGTAAAGAATGAAGTTCAAAGATGTGGTTTATCATCACAAATCACAAAATATCATTTAAAAAATATTTGTATCTGCGTCTGATAAGGCTATGGATTGCTTCAGGGATATGGATTGCACTTTAACAAGCTCAGACTACAGCACTCTTCCCATGCAGTGTCATCCAAATCATAAAAAATCCATCCATCAATCAAATCTTGAAAATTGAGTAGAAGAAATCACTTAAAAAGTTTAGAACTTGAGTGGAAGTTAAACAACTCCTTTCACTTTAACCCACTAAGACTCAAACAGAACTTGAGCATACTATCCATTGCAATGTGATCATAATTTAAAATAATGCTCAGATTCATATCCTAAACATATATTTCATGAAAATCACATTACAACCATTGGCCATCATTCAAACTTCACATAACACGGGAAACTGCATCAACCCATTTTTTATCTTCCAAAATTTTAAAAGAGTCAAGTTAACTCGTACGTCATGTAACTATGTAACCTAAAAGAATCTACTGAAATAGATGCCCTTAAAATGCCATGGGATTGAGACTTAAGAGCAAACAACCCATTCTTTCTCCATGGAAACGTAATCATCAATCAATTTGAACTAGACACGATCTTAATTGAACCTTCAACATATTACCATATCAAGTCTAATAATAACCACAATTCCAATTCTCAACGGTCCACAAAAGCACCTTATGGCTTATAGCAACAATTACGATGAAGGACAAAGGAGAAACTAATCTAATTTTCCAACAAAGACTTTCAAGACTAACAACCTGTCACGAATACAATTAAAATTCTCGATAGTGGATGCAGTTTCTTAAGTAACATACAGAAAATCTAATAAGAAAGGAAAAACAGACACGTCTCTTTTCTTCAGAAGCGGAATAAAAGACAAAACTATCTCACACACTCGTTACCATAAAAGCAAATGCTGATGACTCAGTAACTTTTAATCTCATTTTCATATCTCTCTCTAGAGAATGATCAAGTATTTTTTCCTAGTCATGAAAGTGATTGAGATGCCCAATCCAAAATTCCATCTTACATTAATAAAAAAAAAAAACTAAAATCACCCCTTTAACGATGCAATTTATTAATTATACCATTAGAATTTAGGGTTAAAGTTTGACGATGAATTTTCTTTGATATAAGGAATTATAGAAAAAATCCTTATCCCGATCGATTGCGAATTAAGGAAAATAACTCGAGAATTATTTTACCCAAAATTTCAAAAAAAATGAATTTAAGGAAAGTGTGATGAGAGAGCAAGGGAACCTGTAACGGACATCTCTCTGAGAAGAACAAGAATTATAGGAGTAAGTTCTGTTAAAGTGACCGCCTCTATTGAACACCGAATCATCCATTTATTAGTGTTTTCCAGCGACAGCAACAGCGGCGGTGGTGGGAGAATGCGTGAGAGACACCCGTGGCGGCGAAGGATGATGGAAGGAGAGAAGAGTAATAGGGAAGTGGGGTTCGTTGGGTAAAGAACGTGACCCGGACGAATCGGAACGGCGAGTCTGACAGAACAGAAACGGTAACGGAACACGATCGACACGACAACGTTTTATGAGGGACTGGAAAATATTTCGCGGATAGGAAGCAGAAGGATCGAAGGTAGAGGAAAATGGAGAAGAAGCTTCACTAACAGAATGGCAGTGGAATTACTATATTATTATTTCTTTTTTATTTTTTTATAAATTCGGTGGCTTTGATTATCGTTATATTATAATTTATTTTTTCCTTTATTTGCATTCGGCCTGGGAAACGAAGATCCTATTCCTAGGTGTTAGGTTAACCGATTCAATCTTATGCTTATCGGTTTTGTTTTATTTGGATTTTCATATATATAATCTAACCAGTAGATTATATACCTTTAGTTACTTGTTACGTTTTCATTTTTTAAAAATCACAATAACTAACATACAATAAAACATTTTATAAAAATTAAATATAAAAACTTAATTCATATAGAGTGATTGATATAGAAATTATTAATTTGATAAATAAATAAATAAAATCATAAATATAATCAATAAAATGCTATAATAATTTATTATAATTAAAAAATGCTAAGTATATATAGATAATTATTTTATATATAAATATTTAATTGATAAAAAAACACTATAAAGGTTATTTAATAGAATTTCGAGTTGACGTAGTAAAAATTATTTATTTATATCATGATAAAAAAACTAAAAATTTAATTATATAATAAAGATAATACTTTAAAATTTTAAAATATAAAATAATTTCATATTAAAAATATATTATCACTAATATTTCTTTTAAATAGAGCATAAAAGGTAAAATTATATAATTAAATAAATTTTTTAATTAATCTAGATCAAGTGTATTATGAAAATAAAATTCATTTATGATATATAATTTTTTTAACTAAATTTGATAGTGTATTTTTAAAAAAATATAATTAGCTAATATATATATATATATATATATATATATATATATATATATATATATAGTTCTTTTAATTAACACATTTACAAATTGGCTTGTATATTTAAAAAGTTATATTTTAATTATATGGATATTTTGTTATACTTTAGTTTACTTTATTAGTTAAAAGTATTATAACATCAAAGATTGAAAAATAACAAAATGCTAACTAAAATATAAATTATTAAGTACAAAGACTAATTTGTAAATATATTAGTTATAAAAATTAAATATATAATTTATTTTATTTTATTAAAAAATAGTATAGCTTCTTTTATTTTATTAATTTTTTTGATGTCTGCTTTAAACTAACTTAAACAACTAAACGGAAAAAAATTATAATTTTTATATAAAAGATAATATAATCTTAATAAAGTTTCTATTTCTGATTATTTAGAATTAAATTTAAAATTTTATTTGTGTTCGTTAAAGGAAAAAAAATCTACTTGCTTTAAAAATAAATCTTAAATAAGTATTTCATTTAATAAATTTTTTGAGACTGAATTAACTGTTGACATTTATTTATTAGATTTTAAATAATTAGATCATCCATAAACATATAATTTTATTATTGATATTTATTATATTACATTAAAATAAAATTATTTAATAAAATATCAAAATAAAATTTTAAATTATATAATTTTTTTAATTTAGACCATAAATTAAAAAATTTACTGAAATGTAAATTTATGATTACATATTAAATTAGAATAATTACATGTTAACGATTTATGTGTTTAAATATTAATAATTAAATTGATAAAATTTAATATCTAAACAAATTATTAAACATAGTAAATTATTCCAGACTTATAAAATAAGTGGATTTCTTCCTCTTATTAAATAACATAAATTTTACAAAATTGTTTATAATAAGATATCCATTTATTTTAAGTTAATAATATAAACATATAATGTTTTAATTATACAATTATTTAATGATAATACTAGTTGATTAGATTATTAGATGTACGTTCTAAATTGAGTTCATTAACTTAATTGCACGTAAATAAACATATTAAAACTGCTAATTTAGGTCACTCGATTTGATTTACATTAACAGGCTAATGAATTACGTAGGCACGGTATTTTATCACATTAAAACGATAATAACTAAAGCTCGACACTTTATAATTAATAAAATTAGGTAGACAAGCCATTTTATGACATTTTAAAAAAATTAATGTTAATATGTACTGAAGATAAAAAAATTATAATAACAATATGTTTTTAAGTACGTTAAAATTTCAAATATCAAATATTTATTTAATAAATTTAAAATAAAAATATTATCAAATTAGTTTATCGAATAACATTAAAATAAATAATGTAACTAATCCATAATATTCAAAATAAATAATAGCAAAAAATTTAAAATAAATATTTTAACTAGTCTCTTAATTTTTAAAAAATTTTGGGATAAAGTTTTGCATCAACTACAACAACCTTCTCTTATCATCATCATTCTCATTATTTGAAAAAAAAAAAAAAAAAGAACTTTTAAGATGATAATTCAAGTTTTACTCTCAAAATTATATGAACATATCACTTTCCAATATAAGTTTTAAAAAGGTATAATTTTAATATGTATTAAAAGATAAAATATTTATCTAACAAATTATTTCATTCAACAAAATCAAATTAAATACTCGAAATAATTCTAAATATTTAAAACAAATATTCTAACTAGTCTCTCAATTATTTAATTTTTCTCTATAAAGCTTTATATCTCGGAATGAAGTATTCTTAATTACAACAAAGATGTTAATGTCTACACTTCCTCGCCCTCGTCTGTAACAAAATGACCAGTTCCAGGATTCAAAGCAGCAAAGAAGAAAAACACAATGCTGAACAACACTAGTGGTTCTATTTCGTTTATGGGCACCCCAGTCTCAATGTTGAGCTGAGCTAGAGCTCCTTTTCCAGTTATAATTTCGCCAATTAAGGAGAAAGCAAAACCCATTTGAGCCAACCTTCCAACAAAGAGCTCGTTCGCTTTGGTAAACCCAAATAAAGGACCTGATACACACAAAATAAACCATACCACAATACTCATCAAATTATAGTAAAATTAAAAATAAGTGGTTAAACCTGTTCTTATTATTATAATCTTTGTCTAATGAAAATTAGTCTATTTATACTAATGGTATGATACATTCATAATATACATCAATTTTATGCGGTATTAGAGCAGTGTGAAAGTTGGCTACCTCCTTCCCTGAGACCCAAAGCAGCTCTGAATCCTTTGCCTGGAGGAATGAATGGCTTATCCAATGGAGTGGGAGGGTCATCAACAAATTGACCACGGTCACCAAGTGCTCCAATGGCTCCTAATAATGTGAAAATGATGAAGAAAAGAAGAAGAGGCTCTGCTTCATAAATTGGAATTCCAGTTTCCAGATTAAGTTGTGCTAATATTCCTTTCCCAGTAATTGCTTCACCCAACAATGATGCCTGCAAGTGCATTGTAATGTTTCGATTTTGGAAATGGAATATAATAAAGTGGGGTGATTTATTATTATTATTATTTGAATTATTTAAAATGAGATGGAATGAAATATAATACGATGGAACCCATTCAATTTCATTTTATTCAATACCTTCGTTTCTATGTACTCTATCTAATTTGGGGGCATGATGTGGTTCAAGTCTTTTTTATTCCATTTCACTTGAAGGATATTCAAACAAAAAAGAGTAACTTTATTTTACAATTTTTATTTTATTCTATTTTTCACGTCATTAAATATTCGAACAAAAGCTTTGTAATTCTGGCACTTAGAAAAACAAACCTTAAATCAATTTAAAAATAGACAAAACTTATGTGTAATTTTTTGATGTATTTTTAGTGTTGTTTTTAATCAAAATTAAAATTTTATTTAATAAACTTTGATGATCTTAAACTTTTACCTAACAATGTGTTTGTATGAGGGGTAAATTAGAGAGGAAAGAAGTAGATGAAAAATAAAATAAAAAAGCTATATTATTTGGATGGATTGAAATAAAAAAAAATTCCACTTAATTTAGATTAATAGGAAAAAATAAAAAATTAGGTTGTATTTAAAATATATTTATAATAATAATAAATTAATTTAACGAAAAGTTAAATTTTTACCTTTTTATAGAATTTTTCTTAATAAAAATTTATTTTTTATTACTTATTTTATTATATAAAATTATTAAAACAAAAAAATAAGATGAAATTTTAAGAAGAGAAACACTTTTCCCCCTCCCCTCAATTTGGGGGAGCGGCGAGTTATTTTATGAGTCCCACCTGATTTTTTTTTTCTCACTTTTTATATCAATCTAAAGCAAAAGAGATTTCTAATATTCACTCTATTTTTCTTCTTATTTTCTTTCTTCTAAATTACACCAATTCAAATAAAGTGTAATTAAAACTTTAATTTTAATTAAAAAATAGTATCTAAAGTACTAAACATATAAACCATATCCTTGTTGAAATGAATGTTAAAAGAGGCTGTGTACTAGGATGTTCATACTCGAACATGAAGACAACTAATCAATCTAAGATGTAATTTTATTTTGTACAAACATAACATGATTGTGTGTGTGTGGATGAAACAATTGAAATGTTGAAAATAAGAAAAGATCACGTGACAGTGACGTTGAGACAGAGCCAAGAAAGGAAATTTCAACTCACAGCAAAACCGAGCATGGCAACACGACCCACAAAGAGCTCGTTCTGCTTAGTAAAGCCAAACCCTCCAGAAGTGCCAAAAATCCCATCTTCAACCTTTGACTTTGGCTTGGACTTCACAACCTGAATAGATCACGTGTCACCAAATTAAGAGTCCTGACAAAAATAAATAAACAGAAATTCTATTTAAAAAACATTGAAAATCACCTTGCTGGTGGGAGAGGCCTTGGTCTTTGTTTTGTAGATGGCTATTGTTGTGAATGTACTTGATGAAGAAGGAAAAGAAAAAGTTGAAGGAAGTGGGTTGAAAAAGTGACGAGAGAACTTAGGCCTTAATCTTTGACTTCGTAGTTGGAGCAAAGAGTTCCCCTTCAGATCCATGGAATTGCTAGCTGGGACACTAGACATGAGTACCATGGTTTGAGCCATTGCTTCAGTATAGTGATAATCTAGCTAATCTGTTAGCTCCTTTATTATGTGCTTAATTATATATCTGTTGTGTGTGACTTAAACCCCAATGTAGAAGGAAGAGTTAGCTAATAATACATGGTAGAGTGGCACTACCATCGTTAATAGGATGTGGATGTGGTGTAAAGATGATGATAGGAAACTAGAGTGCCCACGTCTCCTCCATCATATGTGGTTAATTATTATGGTGAAAATTTATTTTTGATCAATGAACATAATTTCTGGGGCTTTTCTTTGCCAATGGCTAATAGACTCACTCAATTGGTTTTCTTTGTTTTTCTACCCTGTTGGCCTCAATAAAATGTCAAGCTGGAATTGTGTTTTTTGCATGCGTTGGTGCAAAAAGAGTGTGGGTAGCTTATGACAAGGGACACGTGTTGGGTTGTCTGGATCAATTGGTCATGTCTCATTCAGTTCATAATCTAAATTCAGAAGATGCCACCCAGTTGTTGGGGTGATCTGGACAAGGATATCTGAACGTGACAAATCCTGATTTCACACATCCTCCAAGTACAGTGCTAATGGATATTGTTCGTGTTTTAGTTTCATTTTTTGTGTGTGTAATGTCTGTTATTGGAATTTCTTGGTAACAGAATTTTAAAATACAAAATATAGTTAATCCAACCCAATTTGATAGGTTTGATAATAATGGAAGGAAAAGCTTATTGGGTTAGATACTGGTTGGGCCTCAATCCAATTCCAAACCTAGCTAGCTCACACTCACGTATTCTAGCATTAAATGAACTTTTTTTGTGTGTCAACGCATTGTTTGCTACATGATTCAGAATCAAGCAATTTGTAACCAATCAAGCCCACAGGGGTTGTCCAAAAACAGCTCACAGAAGTTGCTTTTCTTACCACTTTTCAGAAATTTTAAAAAATGAATAACACCTTTCAATTTGGTTTTTCAAAAATATAAAAAAATAGAGTGCTTAAAAAAATGGAAACTGTAAAAAGTATTTATCTTAGTCCAAGCACAGTCATGATTTATGACAAATATTTAGAGTGCATTCAGCAAACTAATTTAGTAAGTATTTATTTTAAAAAAATTATTTGATTATTTATAATATAAATTTGCCCACAATTTTTTTTTAAATAAGCTAGAAAAAATTTATTTAATAAACTAAATTAAAAAGGTTGTCAAAAGAAGATGAAACATATAAAATAATCGTAAACATTATTTGTAAATTCTCTGTTAATTCTTCTAAGTTTTTGCTTCATAGTTTATGGACCTGCTCTGCTTTTATATTTGTTTTCTTTGAACCCGTAGTCTTGAAATCAATGTATCTCCCACATATGCGTTGCCGTCACGCTAATAAGAGAACATAGAAACACGTTAGGAATATAAATGCGAATGCAGTTCCTTAAAGTAGAAGACTATGTCTTGAGATTCTAGCATGTGGCCAACCCACATGAAAGCAAGCTTCATTTTTCGTTTTCTTTTTCAGGTTAAAGCAAGCTCAAATCGAAATGAATTTTATAATGGAGGATTTAGAAGAGTTTATAAGCATGCATGAATCTACTAAAGGTAGGCACTGTACAATATCCTAAGTACAAAATAAATGGAAATTTTAATTAAAAAAAAAACTATATATATCCCATGTGTCATGTATCTAATCACACTCCAATAAAACTATTATGGGATGATATATAACGTAATATGATTAGATACTCAAGATATTATTGCTAGGTCAATTTATACGGATTATTTAAAAAAAATTAAAATTTGTGAGGATTTATCAAAAAATAATATATATTTATAATAAAGACTAAAAAATATTTTATTTTATTTATTTATTTAAAGAGACAAGCAATTTAGTTTCATCAAGTATATTATTTTGAAGGCGGAATTTTTCAATAGGTTACAATAACAATATGCAGTACTGATATCCTCGTACTGCTTTACAAGAACCGCTACAAATCTTCAATTTATGTTATTTTATTTTGGATGATAAAGAGAGATATAAGTTTAAGGATCAAGGAACAGTGTATCATATATGACCGACAGGATTATATATGTAAATATCTAATTTATATATATATATAGAGAGAGAGAGATTTTTTTAGTAAGTCTAAAAATAAATTCTTACGTTGAATTTTAATTTTTTATTTAATTTATATTTAACGAATTATAATTTATTATTTCATTGTTAAATATAAATTAAATAAAAAGTTTAAATTAAATTTAAAAATTAGACTTATACGGATAGAAAATCTTCTTTATATATATATATATATATATATATATATATATATATATATGAGATAATTAATATCGGCGAATAATAGAAGGTCCCTCCACTCAAATACAGAGTGGGTCACACACAGGGCATTGATTTGTGGATCTTTTGAGTGTATGATAATGAAAGTTGTGGCTGCGTACAAAGTCATCTTTCACTGTTTTTGTTTGATTCCCCAACTTTGCAGCTTGACATTATTAGATGGTAAAGCTAAAAGGGTAATGCGGGTTATTCTTGTTGAAACCTTACCATCGTCCAAGTTAGGTCACGAACTAACATGATTATCATCATCATCACATTAACTATTTATGTGCAATAATACGGTGCTTGTGGTATGACCTAGATCTGGATTTTATCATGTTGATGCGAAAATATGGATGATTGCTAATCTGAAATAGTGTATTATATGATTTATAAACAAGATAATGAGATGACCTAGTTTTAAAAACTAGGCTTCCATTGGTTTCTTAAATATAAGTATATTTTGCAATAAATTTTTATAATTTTTTTTAAATTTAATTTCTAAAATGTTAATGAATTAAAATTAACATATTTTTCCTGTTAAATATTGAATTGACTGATTGAAAAAAAAAGTGAAAGAAAGAGTAGAGTTAGCAATTAATTTTTAAAATATATTTAAAGATTTATTATAAAGATTAATTTTAAATAATAAAATATTAAAAAATTAAATAATGTAACATGTTACATGAGAATACTAAATTAATTCAGTATTCAACAAAAGAAATTTGACAGTAGATAATTAAATTCTAACTTTTTAACATTTTAGTGATTAAATTTTAACAAAAAATTTAATAAAAATTTATTAAAAATTGTGTTATATTTATAAGAACAAATCACATATTTAAATCTAAAAGTTATAATATTTATGATTTAATACTTAATAATTATTGCAGATTAAGAATTTTTAAATATTATATATTTAAAATAGGTTCTTTAAAATTATTTTTTTTTAAAATAAATAATTTTAAAAAATATTTATAATAATTAAGAAAGTAAGTTTTCCTTTTCATTCATATAAAATTCAACCTAATTCTCTCAAATTCACTTTCTTTTATCTTTGTTTTTGAAGTTAGTGTAAGTATTTTTTTTATATTTCTAGCAACTAGTTCTATATATTCAACAACCGTAGCTGAATTTTAAGCTATAAAAGTTTAAAAGAGGTATTCAAGATTTGAGATCAAATAACCCCCACATGGAATAGTGTATTTGAAACTTTTTTAAATTCTTCCTTATTTTTCCTCCTAAATAGCATACAAACATATTTCCATAATCTAACAACCTAAATAACCATACTCTCTTTGTATTGTTATACTTGGAACTATGATCTTTGTAAATGAAATCACCTAAATTATTAAACATCTTATACTCATTATAATTCTCTTAAAAATAAACAACTTGACTAAATTATGAGTTTTATACGGAGAGTTTGCAGAGAATCTTAAAGATTTAAAATGACATTCAACATTCTATTAATACAAAATTTATTTTTAATTATAAATTGAAACGATATCAATACATGTAAAAGCAAATCTTTCTGAAATCACCACCTAAATGCGAGATATATACAAGATTTGTTTGAAAAATATAAAAAATGGTTATTTATCAATCATTTAAAGATACAAAATAATAGTTTTGAAGGTTCAAATAACAATTTTATAAATTTTTTATAGAAAATTAAATCATAAATACATAAAAATTAATATTATTAAGTTACATAACAAAAATCTGAATGGTTTACTTTTAAAAAAAATAAATCTATCAGTTTAAAAAAACTTACTCACTCATGCATTACTTACATACTAACTCATATCAGTTTGAACTGAAAATTATGACTCTATTTTTTTTATTTAAGCAAATTAAGAGAATTTTATCTTACACCATTATTTATGTTCACCATTTACATTTTCACTTAAGTAATTAAAAATAAACTAAACTGCTATATTCTTACATAAACAGCGAGATTCAAATCTAACTCACTTTTTGCAAAAGAATAATTTCTCAATCTTAAAAAATATATTATGATTTGGTTTGAATCAACTAATGAGACAATTTTTTTAATATAGTATTTTTTAAGAAATTACTTAAATATGATATTTTAATAATATTACCTGAATATGGTTTTTGTGAAAAAAAATGTTAGTAGTGATGTTTTAAGACTGAAAAATTATACATCCAAAAATTGTCATTAACAAGTTTTTTTCAAATACAACTTATACTCAAAATTACTAATAGCGAATTAAAAAAATACTCTTTTTTACAAGCAAAAGTTGCTGGTGACAGTTTTTCACCGATACACATTCATTATTCATGGCAGCAGACGATATTTTTGGAAAAAAGTCGCTAATGACAATTTTTAAAACATCTTATTTGTATAAATATATCATAAATTTCATATTAATGTAATTATATAATTTAAATCTCATGTTTAAATTAATTATCTTCAACTAGTTTCTAGTGTTACGTATAGAAAAGATTATATTTAACTTTAAACTAATCAGAAACATTATAACTTAAAAGATTTCATTATTTTTCATTTACATTAATACGAGACTCTCTTTGTCCGATGTTATGTAAGGATTTCTCTTGAGAAAGCCTTAAATATATGTTTTTGAGAAAAATTTCGACTATTGTGCCTTTTGTCTAGGTTATCATTTTAGAGTTTTCAACTAAAAATTTGCGCTATAAATTTTTAGGTGTTTTATCCTTATAATACTCATTTTTAAAATTAGAAATAAAATATTAAAACAAGGTAGTATTAGCATTGATCACGTTCTAGTCAA